ACGACCGCTACCCTTCCCATTGGCTAATCAGCATATCCTTATGCAAATTAACTGTCAGTCTAGATGGCAGCCGGCAGCCAGACAGCTGGAAGCCAACATGAGGCTTGCTTGCTCCAGTGACTGCAGACTGCAACATTCCCCGCCTGACTTGCCAGCCTCTGAGCTACAACTCTAAGAAACTATGTTGCAAATATAGAAGCTAAACAAAACCCCAGAAATCAGCTTTCAGCCAGCCAGGATCTCAGAGCTAGAGTTATACATTGTTTCAATTATAGCAGCGGAAGCCTCAGAGCAAGAGTCAGAGCTAAAGCTGGCCCAGAATAAAAAAAAAAAGAAAACAAGGAGTGGTTGGGAGCTTCAGTCAATTGCCAGCCTGAAAGCAGCCCTCAGCTCCTCACCCAGACTGGCCAGGCACCCCAGTGGGGACCCCCACCCTGAAAGGTGTGTGACCAGCTGCAAACAGCCACCATCCCCTCATCCAGACTGGCCAGGCACCCCAGTGGGGGACCCCCACCCTGATCCAGGACACTCTTCAGGGCAAACCAGCTTGCCCCCAGGCCTCTATCCTATATAGTAAAAGGGTAATATGCCTCCCAGCACCGGGATCAGCGGAGCAGCGAGGCCTCCTGGCACCGGATCAGCGTGACAGGGGGCAGCGCCCAAACCCCCTGATCGCCCTGCGGCTCTGTGTGTGACAGGATGCGGCGTCCCAACCCCCTGATCGGCCCTGCTCTGTGTGTGACAGGGTGTGGTGCCCCAACCCCCCCCACCCCCTAACAGGCCCTGCTCTGTGTGTGACAGGGTAGAGCCATAACCTCCCCATTGGCCCTGCCCTGAGTGTGACAGTGGCGGCATCCCAACCCCCTGATCGCCCTGCTCTGTGGGTGATAGAGGGCGGTGCCCCAACCCCCTGATCCGCCCTGCTGTGTGTGACAGGGGGCAGTGCCCTAACTCCCCTATCGGCCCTACTCTGTGAGTGACAGGGGGGAGCTCCTCAACCCCCTGATTGGCCCTGCTCTGTGAGTGACAGGGGGAAGCTCCCCAACCCCCTGATGGGCCCTGCTATGTGCGTGACAGGGGGTGGCGCTGCAACCTCCCCATCGACCCTGCCTTGAGTGTGACAGGGGGCGGTGCCCCAACCCCCTAATCGGCCCCACCCTGAGCATGACTGAGGGTGGCATTACAACCTCCCAATCCACCCTGCTCTGTGCATTACAGGGGGCGGCGCCCCAACTCCCCAATCAGCCCTGCTCTGAGCCTGACCAGGGGCTGCACCTAGGGATTGGGCCTGCCCTCTGCCACCCGGGAGCAGGCCTAAGCCAGCAGGTCGTTATCTCCTGAGGAGTCCCAGACTGCGAGAGGGCACAGGCCGGGCTGAGGGACCCCCCCTTCCCCCCCCGAGTGCACAAATTTTTGTGCACCGGGCCTCTAGTATATATATAAAAGCCTAAGTGAACAAACAACCAGTCGACTGATTGCTATGACTTGGACTGACCACCAGGGGACAGACACTCAACACACGGGATAGGGCTCCCTCCTGTCTGGATCAGGCCTGCAGGGATCAGGCAAAAATCAGCTATCCAACATCCCCCGAGGGGTCCCGGATTGTGAGAGGGCACAGGCCAGGCCAACGGATCTGTGCACCAGGCCTCTAGTAATAGCATAATGAATAACTCCCAGTATCTAACAGGAACACTAGGTTCTAATTTTTAATCTGACCACAATTTGTTAATGTAATCTTGAGGATTATTATTCTCTACTTTGCCTCAATTCCCTTTCTATAAATATGCTGATACTGTTATGTTTATAAATAATGCAAATGCTAATACTCTGAATGGAAGTCCTGCAACTAGAGAAGTAAAGAAGAAAGCACATGGAGACTAGTAGGAGGGGCAGAGGCATGGATGGAGGAGAGGCATGGATGGGATGGCCTGACACCAATGTGTGGTGTTTTGTTTTCATCAGGAGGGTTGTGTGGCTCTGGGGGCCTCCTGTGAGGAGCAAAGGGACCCACCCCACACCAGCCCCCCCAGCCCAGGGTTCCAGAGCTGGGAAGAGAAGTCCCTATAACTTTGTGCTATAAAAACCAGCAGAGATTGTGGCTGAGTGGCACAGAAGCTGCTGGAATCGCAGGGAGTTCCCCTAAAAGGGCCAGTGCATAGACTTACTCGGACTTGATCCCTCTGAACTCCAACTCTGGGGTGATGGCTTGAAAGGAACCTGGGACATTAGGGGAGGAACTGATTGTCTGGCATTAGAGCAAGAACCCTCGGGGGTGGCTTCCTCCCAGATGGGTGCTTGCAGGTGTCATTGTTCCTATGCTGAGACCTCCCCTGTCCCAGAGCTGACTGGCAGCCATATCTGAGTTTCCATAAGCGTGGCTCACACTGTTCACTCACCCTGTTGATTCCCCAAGGCCCCACCCCATCCAATTTGCAGCCCCACCAAAGCTGTTTGTAACAGCTTTTCCATATGAATGGCCTGTCCTGGTTCAGGCTTCAGACTTTCCTAAAATCTTTTAAACAAGCAGCAGCTGACTTCAGAGTGCCCCATACCTATCAATAAGAGACCCAAAACCCTGTACTAGCACCAGTCTGCCTCACCAGGGCACTTCTAAGCCCAATACAAGTAGTAGCCATCTGCAGATCTCTCTGAAACTCCTACCAGGTGACGCTAGGCAGTGGATTGGTAGAATCACCATCATTAAAATGTCCATACTACCCAAAGCAATCTATAGATTCAATGCAATCCATATTAAATTACCAATGGCATATTTCACAGACCTAGAACAAATACTCCAAAAATTTATATGGAAACAAAAAAAGGCGCTGAATAGCCACAGATATCTGGAGAAAGAAGAACAAAGTTGGAGGGATCACAATACCAGCTATCAAGTTATACTACAAAGCCACTGTAATCAAAATAGCCTGGTACTTGCACAAGAATAGGTATAAAGATCAATGGAACAAAACAGAGACTCCGAAAATTGACCTAAGCCATTATGCTCAAGTAATATTTGACAAAGGAGGCAAGAGCATACAATGGAGTCAAGACAGTCTCTTCAATAAATGGTGTTGGAAAAATTGGACAGATACATGCAAAAAAATGAAACTAGGCCACCAACTTATACCATACACAAAAATAATATTAAA